CGTCAATCCCAGGAGCTAGGCAACAGCTTAGACTAACCCCGAGAACCACAGACGCACCTTAATCTTTTCGAAGCAAAACAGCCTGCCGGAAGTGCGCGTCATCCTTTGCGCAGGGGCGATGCTCTTTACGCAACCGCTGCTGAAATTAGCCGCGACGTCACCTGCCTAATTTGGGGTTGAAATTATTATAATTTGTGCATTTATAGAAGCCCCATATACCCAAAACTCCCCACCTGTAGTTTCCGTTACCCTAAACCCTAAACCCCAAAACCCTTAAAGAACTCCCTTAAAGGAGCCCTAGAAACCCTTAAAGGAACCCTAAAGGAACCCTAAACTCCCCACCTGTAGTTTCCTTTAACTGTAACCGCTCAGCTTCCGCAGGTGACCGGAGAGTTCGTGCGAGAGACCGTCTGCCTCTCTCCCCACGAGCCGTCCCCCTCCACGGAGGCGCGTGACATTTGGGAGTTTCCGAAAAATACGGGGTACCTTATTTTGGGGGTCCTTATAATAAGGGTCCTACTATTTAGGGTACTATATTAGGGTCCCCTATTTTCGGAAACTCCCATCTGGAGATGGCAGGTATCTACATGTACATGTTGTTGCTGCTCATACTCTATATTGACTCTATGTATGTGTATATATATATATATGTATGAATGTATGTGTTTACTTATTTGTTTATGCTTGTCATTTCTTGATATTGGCCTGCTTGTTTGCATGTATGTTTGTATTCTACTCATATCTATACACACACACACATATATATATATATATTCAGCGGCTAAATTCAGCGAGATCCGTTAGATGTAGAGAGTCAGAGTGTGGCATACTGAGACGCAGCCGCCATAACCACAGCGGCTAAGATTTCAGCAAAAAACGAACACAGCGACATTTAGGGTTTAGGGTTACCACCACCACGACAAAACTGTGTGCACAAACTGGTACCCTTCATGTATATTGACATCTGTGTGTGCGGGGACACATGTATACACGTATTTATATGTACTGTCGCTACACATGTGTGCAGATATTTTGTTTACACATACATATACATATACATAGAATATACACATACATGACTTCTACGTATGCATAAACACTAGCATGCGTATCTGTATATATGTATGCACATATATACAAACATATGTACATGCAGTGCTATACAGACAGAGGTAGTTACAATCCGTACATCCCGCAGCTGCGATTCAAAAGCAGTGCACGAGCCTTCGCAGCGGCTGGATATTGGATGAGGAGTCAGCACACCAGGCAGTTGCCGCTTCCGGCAACACCCTAAACCCCCAAACCCGGCCCTAAACCCCCAAAAAACCCGCAACCCCGAAACCCTAGCCCTAAGCCCTAAACCCTAAGCCCTAAACCCTGAACCATAAGCCCTGAACCCTAAGCCCTAAACCCTGAGCCCTAAACCCCTAAACCAACAAGTCTGAGATGTGCCGAGGACATGTAGAAAGTTCAAAGAAAAGACACATTTCCAGCTCGACAGACAGGCCCATTTAGGCAGTCCTTTGGGGGGTTTAGGGTTTAGTGTTTTAGGGTGTAGGGTTTAGGTTTTAAAGTTTAGGGTTTTATGTAGGGGCCTGAATAACTACCTATATTATATTGGCGCTCCTTCTTATAATTATAGTATAATGGGCCCCCAAACCCTGTTCCAATTATTAAAGCCCATATATGGGAGTTTCAGAAAATTGGGGTACCTACTTTTGGGGTCCTTATAATAGGGATCCTATTATTTACGGTACTATATTAGGGTCCCCTATTTTCGGAAACCCCCATATACTACCAACTCCAGACCGTTGTTTCCAACCAGTCGTTCTGTCATTTTTTCCGACAGAGTGCGACCAGAAGCTTGTATCATAAAGTGAAGAGAAGTAGAATGCTGTGCAGGTCGCAACATTGGGATCTGCGGGAAAGGACCTGCGTTTCACCATTCCAGGATCTAGGGATCTCGTGTCTTAGGCCCCAAACCCTGCAGCTGAACTCCTAGAGACTACCTGTAGTCTCCATTGTAGTTCCTTTTTGGTGATACCCTATGAAATCCTTCATATATATGTGGTTAAACCAAAAAAAGGAACTACAATGGAGACCATAGGTACATCTTAAAGTTTAGGGCTTTGGGTTTAAACCCCTAGAATATGTACCGATTCCTAACAGCCCGGATTCTTCCAATTTTGAGCTGATTTGAAGGACTGCACAGAGCTTCGCGTCATTCTCGCGAGCGAAATGACCAAGGTCCGTTGGGGGTTGTTGAGGGTGTCGTGCTCCTAGGGTTTAGGGTCTAGGGTTTAGGGTTTAGGGTTGAGGGTTTCGTGCTCCTATATGTGAGTTGTTGGGTGTGCAACCAAGGCTTTAGGGGTAATATAGGGGCCTGGATAATTGCCTACAGTATTTTTTGGGGGTTCCTTAGTATAGTTATAGTAGAATAGGTCCCAAGACCCTATTCTAATTATTGATTATTAAGGCCTCCATTTTAAGGGGTTATAGGGTGTGGCGCTTCGGAGTTTCGGGCCTTTTTTGAGATGGGAGTCGACATCGACAGGACAAGGGAAGTCGTTGATTCATTCACCGCGAGCGCAGCGGACAGACGAGCTTGAAGTTGTTCACAATTTCTGCATGGGGGGTTTCAGAAACGAGCTAAAGCCTGAACCCTAAACCCTAAACCCTAAACCCTAAACCCTAACCCTAACCCTAAACCCTAACCCTAAACCGGAGCCCAAAATCCACACACCCCCATGTTTCGGGAAGTCCCAGGAAGGGATTCGTATATAACACCACTGTATACCTTTAAGATAGAACCCCATAGCACTCTTATGGGAATCCTCTACTGTAGCACCCTATGGTACCTTGCGGGAAGCCTCTATTATAGAACCCCTTGAAAGCCTTACGCGGAACCTTTATGATGGAACCCCATAGTATCCATAGTATCCGTACGGGGAACGTCTGTTCTAGAACCTCATGGTAATTACTCTTGCGGGAAATCTCCATTACAGTCTATTGTATATTCTAGAACCCCATAGTACATTTAATTAGTAAGTAGGGTTATAATTAAGGTAACTGTACTTGTATTTACTTATAACCCCAATTAAGGGACTTGTAACCTTACTTATTACCGGCCTTGCAGGAGCCGTTCATGACTTTCGAGTTTGATGGCGTCTTGGGCCTGGGTCTCGCAAGCTTGGCAGTGGATCCGGAGTTCAGCTCTTCGGCGGCCGAAAGACTCGATTAAGTGATTAAAGCCATACCGTAGTATAGTACAACATAATTTACTACACTCTACTACATTTTATGGTAGTCCATGTCATTACCATTTCGTATAGATTATAGTAGAGTTTAAGATTTTTGAGATACTTCAACCTGAGGCCTGTATACAAGCAACAAATAGTTGCGAGAGTATGTGAGCCATTCCTTCTCTGAGTGTTTGGTTCAGGGACTATGGTCCTGAGCCAAGCAAGCTTAGATGGCTGCTTTGGTTTAGGGTTCAGGACCCTAAACCCTAAACCCCTCCAATACTAATATAGTATACTGGGCCCCAAAACCCTATTCTAATTATTGAGACCCCTCTATTGAGTTTTGGGGTCATCACAATCGAAACGCGGCAGCTTTTGTGCCTGAGCAGATCTATATATTGGAGGGCAACACTTGATCGTGGTTCGTAGTGGGGTGTTTAGGGTTTAGGGGATTGCAAGTTGTACAGGGCAAAGTCGGGTTCTGATATGCAACCGAAAGCATTAATTATGCATTGTGCCATACGACGATATACAGGGAAAGGCACAAGGCAATACAAAAGCATTGCGAACAACAGTAATCATGGTTGGTACATGAGATCTTCTGGTAAACCCTAAACCCTAAACCCTAACCCCTAAACCCCTAACCCTATAAACCCTAAAACCCTAAACCCCTAAACCCCTAAACTCTAAACCCTAAACCCCTACACCCCCAGGCTTCTTTGGCCAGATGGCGAAGCTGCAGCTTGGCGTCAAGTGCTCTCTCCTATGCAACGAGCTATTATAGGGGCCTGAATGATGACCTATACTATTTTGGGGCGTTCCTTACTATGATTTTAGCGTTAAGGGGCCCAACACGCTATTCTAATTATTAATGCCCCTATATAATTGCTCCTTTTGGGCGTCAGGAATCCCATAGGAGTCTGTACGAAGGTTACTCCACGGGTTCAGGGTTTAGGGTTTTGGGGTTTAGGGCTTCTTTTCGGAATCTCAAAAGCGCTCTATAAGGGTTCCTTTAATGGTTGTTGAGAGGTTTGGGGTTTAGGGCCCACTCCTTTGAGGGACGAGTCCGGCTAGCAAAGTAGCCTCTAAGCTAGCTTTGCTGACAGAGTGCTTTGTTGCATATCCAGCCACTCCTTTAGTCGCTATCTTCGTTGTCCCTGCACCCCCTAAACCCCTAAACCCCAAACCCTATAAACCCTAAACCCTAAAACCCTCCCCCCTAAACCCCTACAACACGGAAGGAATGGGCTCAAAGAGCAAACTTTTGGGTACTTCCTCTCGCGCTCCGACAATGTGCTGGGCCCAGCGCAGCTGCCGTACCAAGTCCTGCAGACATGTGCAATTCTGATTCAGGGTTTAGGGATTTAGGGTTTAGGGTTTAGGGTTTAGGGTTTAGGGGTTTAGGGGTTAAGGGTTTAGGGTTCAAGTTTTGCAGGCCTCTCGTGCCGACACTCCTGCTTCTTTCAAACCGAGGTTCCGAGCGAGATCTCGTTCGGAGGTGCGCCGGGTTGCAATAGTTAATGGGTAGTTCTCTAAATTAGGGTCCATTTTAGGGTTCCTTTTATAAGGGTGCCGCACTATATTGGGGCCTAAAAAGGCACCCTGATTTAGAGAACTACCCTAATCGCTCAGCAGAATAAGACAGCAGGAGCTTGCGTTCATCAGCTTGCTCGTCACGGCTTTGATTGGGAATAAGAAGTTCCACGGCTGTGCCCCCTTAACCCTAAACTCCCTAAACCCTAAACCCCCTAAACCCCCTAAGCCCTAGACCCCGTAAACCCTAAACCCCCTTCACCCCAAACCCCTATAAAGCCCCTAAACCCCCTACCCCCTAAACCCCCTAAACCCTAAACCCTACTTCAGTTGGCACGGCTTCGAAGGCCACGATACTCGACGGTTGGCATCGCCTCTCCAGTGGGTGCCAGTGCACAAGCCAGCTTCTTCAATGCAAGTCTTTCGGGTTTACGGGTTTAGGGTTTAGGGGTTTAGGTTTTAGGGGTTTAGGGTTTAGGGTTAAAGTGTATCCCGGGCATGTTCAGCAAAGTTCCGTTCACTAGTCTCCTGCACGATCTGATTTCAAAGACAGAGGTGCTGAGTAAGTAACCTCTCAGCTCCTAAAGCCCCAATTTTGGGCTTATAGAAGTCTACTACTGTTGATGGACAAAATTCTGCATGACCCAAATAGTACAGTACCATAAATCCCATAGTTTAGGTATATAAGGTCATGCCGGGTTTTGTCCATCAGCCGTAGAACTTGAAAGGTTGACCTTCTTTGGACTAGGGTACTCAGCCCCTAACAAGAGCTGCTGGTTTTGGAACTGAGGAGCTGGGATACTGGCAGCTGAGGCAGCCTCGCACGCGCAGCGCCTGCAGTCTACATGGGGCTTCCGAAAACAGGGGACCCTAACATAGCACCCCAAATAGTAGGATCCTT